CTAACCCTAAATACACCCTAAATATTCCCTAAACCAATTCTAAACCAACCCTAAACCACCACAACCCAACCACAGGACCACAACCACAGGGCGGGTACTTGTCTGCCCCATGACCATTGGGGGGGAGGGGGGGGGGGCTGGCAACGCTGTACCATATATAGGGTATGTAGACTTTCTAGTATGCTGCGCTGCTTTGCCTGTTGCCAAGACCTTGATGAGCATGTCATGATTTGTTTGGAGCCTCTTTCCCAGCATCAGGATCACCATCGAGCCGCGAGGTTGCTTATCGGTCACGCGAAAGCAGAGACACAGCGAGGTCAAAAGTGAGTCAACCATCCCACAATCCACCTGACTCCAAGCTGGGCCAAGAGCCAAACCAAGCCGCAGGGTCTCATCCCGACAATCGACCTCACAGCTGCCATACGGTTCGCAGTGTTGTTGCTATTTGAGCTATCTCTTCGATTGCCTTCGCTTGCTGTTCGCTGAGTTCACGCAGTTCCCAGGCTGGTTGAGTGCAGCGCTGATGTGAATGCAGTTGATGCTCACGGCAACACGCCATTGATTTTGGCCAGCTGCCTAGGCACACTAGAGCACACCGGCATGCACTGGCATGCACTGGCATGCACTGGCACGCGCGGACAGTGTCGAGGCCGGAATCCATGATAAGCGCTTGGTGGCTTCCATGCTGCTGTGGGGCGGTGCTGAGCGGGACGTGTGGCCTGTCGCAAGAACGGAGAGTCGGACTTTTTTGAGTCAAGCGACGAGTCACTCAATGACTTAGGCAAAACCAACACGGCAACACAGCGCTGCATGAAGCTACCATCAGTGGCGCAAAGGATGTAGCAGGAGCCCCGGGCACATGGCCTGGGCGTTTGGCTTTCTGAACTTTCGGCAATCCATGGGCTCGGCTTCAGGCATGGCTTATCGTGGAGAATGGAGGGGAGAGGTGGGGGCGTTGGCGCCTGCGCTGATGACGTACTCGGGCTCTGAGGTCGGTGAGAATCAAGAATAAGGAGCGATGGGTTGCGACGGGGTTGTGATGGGTCAAAAGGGGGGGGGGCGGGTTCGCAGTGGACAAATCGCATGCGGTACGGACGTGGCTCTGGCAGGAAGGGAAGACCCCGCTAGACATTGCTCGCGATCGAGGCAGAGAAGAGTTTGTCACGTGGCCATGTCTGAGTGAGAGAGCAAGGTGCCAGCGAAGAGCTGCTCGAAGTTCTATCAGGAGAAGACGGAAATAAAGAAAAACTGAACGAGAAGATGCCATTGGCAAGTCTCAGGAGCTGACAAGGAGATGCAAGTCTTCACCTCCAAGAAAGAAGAGGACAGCGGTCAGCAGTTCAGGGTCGACCGCTCGCATGATTCTCCCTGAGGTGAAGCTGCCCGAGCCTGATTCTTGCGCTCGAAGCGAGCATACGCCACTTTTTTTGTTTTAATAAAAAATAAATAAAAAAGATACGGGCATTCCTGGCAAGTTGGGCTTTTGACGACTTTGGGCCCGACAAGAGCGTAAGACTGGACACACGCGAGCGCAGAGAGACAATGCAATTGGGCTGAGGCCTGATGACTCTGCTGAAATGATGACTCCGGATTAAAAGCGAAGGTTTCACATATGGGCTGCAGTGCATTTGCTCACTCTCAACCTCTCCTTCCGAGGTGTAACGAGTCTTTGAAAGGCTGAGGTCCCCAACTGTGTGCTTATGGTAGAACTCCGAGGAGAAGGTTTTCTCAAATCTTCGGCTGCTGACGCAATGCCCAGTTAAAATAGGTACCGTGCTTTTGCGTTTGCGTTCAATGGCGGCACTTGGACGTGACCGCCACTCCCCAGCTCGGGCGCATTTGCACATCCACAGCTGGCTTGCATGACTCATGAGGCGCGGAAAGATTGGATTGCCATCTGCAATGCGCGCCCCAAACGCTCGCGCAGGGGCTGGCTTGGTCTTCAAGCTTGGATGCGCGCAAGAGCTAAAGTGGCACCCTTGGCAGAGCTATGAACATGGTTTGATTGCTTGCGAGCTGTGAGGCAAGATTTGGCAAATGGCCGGGCGATGAGATGGGGGGACTGGTCTGACAGTTTGCATGTGAAGACACGGGCCAGCTCTTGGAACAGCGTTCTGTGCCTTTGGGAAGCTTTGCGTCAGCGTCGGCATAGGCCGAATAGGCCGAATAGGAAGCGATTTCTGCGAGCGTCCTTGGACGCCCTGTCCCGCAGCCAAAAGTGGAGGACTGCCCTCGCCTTGCGCGGCCGCGCGAACGTGGCGAGCCTGGCGCTGGCTTCGCAGTGGCCCGGCGCCCTCGCGGCTTTGAAGAAAACAAGCCCCCCGTGGCCGACCGCACGGCCCTGGCTGAAGGCGGCCGCCCTGAGGGCTAGCGCGAAGGAGGCCCAGATCTTCGCCCATGTGGACTGGGATGCCGCCATGCAAGTCTTGATGAACCTACGGCAGCTGCGAGGCGAGCTTGCCTCCTTTCAACTCTGTTCTTTGTCGGTTTTTTGGCTCAGCTCTACTTTTTCTGCCAAATCTGTTTGACGTTTGTTCTTTCTTTCTTTTGTTTTTCGAAGCTCTATCCTCTTGTTTGTTCTTTCAACTCTTTCTTCTTTCTCCGAACTCTACTCTTTTTTTTCCCCGATCTCTTGTTTCGTCACTCTATCTTTATTTTGGTCTTCAACCCTATCTGCCTTTCACCGAAAACTTCGCTACCCTCATGTTCAGGCAAAATCATGCAACTCGAAACTGTACGGTGACGGTGCATCAGATCCTGCAAAGTGGTATGACAACAGGGCTGTTTCTCAACTACGGAGCGTTTGTCCGCGCGCCAGCACGCCTCTTGTTTTTTTGACACTGCCTGGAGTCTTGAGCAGTTGGGTTTGCGCGGATTGGGAAGCTGCAAATCTGTGGAACTGGCCATTCAAAATGCTGGGCATGCTGTTCGTACCGTTTTCCAATGCATTCACGTCTTCTCAACACGCCCGGAGATTGGCCTATTGCAAACAAATCAATATGCTCTCGTGTGTGTACTCCCGTGCTTGTTGCCGTTCCTGTTCTTTGCCGCAACTGGTCTACCCCGCTGCTCCACTCCTCCGCTCCTCCACTCCTCCACTCCTCCACTCCTCCACTCCTCCACTCCTCCGCTGCTCCGCTTCTCCATTCTCCACTCCTCCACTCCTCCGCTCCTCCACTCCTCCACTTCTCCGCTGCTCCGCTCCGCTGCTCCGCTCCTCCGCTCCTCCACTCCTCCTCTCCTCCACTCCTCCACTCCTGCACTCCTCCACTCCTCCGCTTCTCCGCTTCTCTGCTCCGCTACTCCGCTTCTCCATTCTCCACACTCCTCCGCTGCTCCGCTCCGCTGCTCCGCTCCTCCACTCCTCCGCTCCTCCACTCCTCCGCTCCTCCACTCCTTTGCTGCTCCGCTCCGCTGCTCCGCTTCTCCATTCTCCACGCCTCCACTCCTCCACTCCGCTGCTCCGCTCCGCTGCTCTGCTCCTCCACTCCTCCGCTGCTCCGCTCCGCTGCTCCGCTTCTCCATTCTCCTCCTTCACTCCTCCGCTCCTCCACTCCTCCACTCCTCCACTTCTCCGCTGCTCCGCTCTGCTGCTCCGTTTTTCCATTCTCCACTTCTGCACTCCTCCGCTCCTCCACTCCTCCACTCCTCCGCTGCTCCGCTCCGCTGCTCCGCTTCTCCATTCTCCACTCCTCCACTCCTCCGCTCCTCCGCTCCTCCGCTCCTCCTCTCCTCCGCTGCTCCGCTCCGCTGCTCCGCTTTCCATTCTCCACGCCTCCGCTCCTCCACTCCTCCGCTCCGCTGCTTCTCCATTCTCCACTCCTCCACTCCTCCGCTCCTCCACTCCTCCACTCCTCCGCTGCTCCGCTCCGCTGCTCCGCTTCTCCATTCTCCACTCCTCCGCTCCGCCACTCCTCCACTCCTCTGCTGCTCCATTCTCCCCTCCTCCACTCCTCCGCTCCTCCACTCCTCCACTCCTCCGCTGCTCTGCTCCGCTGCTCCGCTTCTCCATCCGCCACTCCTCCTCCGCTCCTCTACTCCTCCACTCCTCCGCTGCTCCGCGCCGCTGCTCCGCTTCTCCATTCTCCACTCCTCCACTCCTCCGCTCCTCCACTCCTCCACTCCTCCGCTGCTCCATTCTCCACTCCTCCACTCCTCCTCTCCTCCACTCCTGCGCTGCTCCGCTCCGCTGCTCCGCTTCTCCATTCTCCACTCCTCCACTCCTCCGCTCCTCCACTCCTCCACTCCTCCGCTGCTCCATTCTCCACTCCTCCGCTCCTCCTCTCCTCCACTCCTCCACTCCTCCGCTGCTCCGCTCCGCTGCTCCGCTCCCGCTCCTGCACTCCTCCACTCCTCCGCTGCTCCGCTTCTCCGTTCTCCACTTCTCCACCGCTCCTCCACTCCTCCGCTGCTCCGCTCCGCTGCTCCGCTTCTCCATTCTCCCCTCCACTCCTCCGCTGCTCCGCTCCGCTGCTCCGCTTCACCATTCTCCACTCCTCCGCTCCTCCGCTTGCTCCGCACCGCTGCTCCGCTCCGCTGCTCCGCTCCGCTGCTCCGCTTCTCCTTTCTCCACTCCTCCACTTTTCCACTCCTCCACTCCTCTGCTGCTCCGCTGCTCTACTCCGCTCCTCCGCTTCTCCATTCTCCACTCCCCGCTCCTGCACTCCTCCACTCCTCCGCTGCTCCGCTCCGCTGCTCCGCTTCTCCGTTCTCCACTTCTCCACCGCTCCTCCACTCCTCCACTCCTCCACTCCTCCGCTGCTCCGCTTCTCCATTCTCCACTCCTCCGCTCCTCCGCTCCTGCACTCCTCCGCTCCGCTGCTCCGCTTCTCCATTCTCCACTTCTCCACTCCTCCGCTCCTCCACTCCTCCACTGCTCAGCTTCTCTGCTTCTGCTCCTGCTCCTCCTCTCCTCCATTCTCCACTCCTCCGCTCCTCCGCTGCTCCGCTGCTCCGCTCCTCCGCTCCTCCGCTGCTCCGCTCCTCCACTCCTCCACTTCACTCCTCCGCTGCTCCGCTGCTCCGCTGCTCCGCTCCTCCGCTGCTCCGCTCCTCCGCTGCTCCGCTCCTCCGCTGCTCCGCTCCTCCGCTGCTCCGCTCCTGCGCTCCTCCGCTCCTCCGCTGCTCCGCTCCTCCACTCCTCCACTCCTCCGCTGCTCCGCTGCTCCGCTCCTCCGCTGCTCCGCTCCTCCACTCCTCCACTCCTCCGCTGCTCCGCTCCTCCACTCCTCCGCTCCTGCGCTGCTCCTCCGCTGCTCCGCTGCTCCGCTCCTCCACTTCTCCACTCCTCCGCTGCTCCGCTGCTCCGCTCCTCCACTCCTCCACTCCGCTCCTCCGCTCGTCCACTCGTCCACTCCTCCGCTCCTCCGCTGCTCCGCTCCTCCGCTCCTCCGCTCCTCCGCTGCTTCGCTCCTCCACTCCTCCACTCCTCCGCTGCTCCGCTGCTCCGCTGCTCCGCTCCTCCGCTGCTCCGCTCCTCCGCTGCTCAGATCCTCCACTCCTCCGCTCCTCCGCTGCTCCGCTCCTCCGCTCCTCCCCTGCTCCGCTCCTCCACTTCTCCACTCCTCCGCTGCTCCGCTGCTCCGCTGCCTCCGCCTCCACTCCTCTCCTCCGCTGCTCCGCTCCTCCGCTGCTCCGCTGCTCCGCTGCTCTGCTGCTCCGCTGCTCCTCTGCTCCGCTCCTCCGCTGCTCCGCTCCTCCACTCCTCCACTCCTCCGCTCCTCCACTCCTCCAATTCTCCGCTCCTCTGCTGCTCCGCTCCTCCGCTCCTCCGCTCCTCCGCTCCTGCTCCGCCCTCCGCTCCTCCGCTCCTCCGCTCCTCCGCTCCTCCGCTGCTCCGCTCCTCCGCTCCTCCGCTCCTCCGCTCCTCCGCTCCTCCGCTGCTCCGCTCCTCCGCTGCTCCGCTCCTCCGCTCCTCCGCTCCTCCGCTCCTCCGCCCCTCCGCTCCTCCGCTCCTCCGCTCCTCCGCTCCTCCGCTCCTCCGCTCCTCCGCTTCTCCGCTCCTCCGCTGCTCCGCTCCTCCGCTCCTCCGCTGCTCCGCTCCTCCGCTCCTCCGCTGCTCCGCTCCTCCGCTCCTCCGCTCCTCCGCTGCTCTGCTGCTCCGCTCCTCCGCTCCTCCGCTCCTCCGCTCCTCCGCTCCTCCGCTCTTGCCGATGGGTTGTCTGGGTAGTCCTCCAGAAGGCTTTTTCAGCAAGGTGGTGGGCACTTCAGCGCATGTCGGGGGCTAAGTTTTTTTTTCGAGGTCCAGGCACAAGCCCTTGCTGGTAGGACATCATTGCGGGAAACAGGCGGGGTTTGCGTCGGAGGATAAAGATGTTTCTCCAATCGGGCTGAGTCTTTGGTTTTGCTCAACAAGGCTGGCCTGCGCAACAAACAGTGCAAAGGGCGAATGCGGACCATGATTGAGTAGTGGAGGGCCTTGCCCCGCAAATAAATTGCTTCATACATACCCCCCACCCTACCATTTTTTTCATCTTCCATCTTCTACCCTTATTCGTTTTCATCATTTTTCTACATTCCTTTCTGTCCATCTCATCCGTTTTTTTTATCATCATTTTTCCAAAATTTTCGCCATCCTTTTCTCCTTCCTCCTCGCCTCATTCATTTCACCAACTACCCTCCAAAATGTCATTTCCTCAATCTCCTCACCTCATCCATTTCAAAAAAATAAATTTTGCAAAATATATTGCAAAAAATATTTGTCATCAAAAAAATATTCGAACTGTCTAAAAACGATTTGTCCATTTCCCGGACAAGAAATAGAACAGCAACAACATCACTCTCCTCCTTCGTTTCATCACTTTTATCATATATTTGTTTGGGCGTGGTGTCCCTTGTAGGATTTTATCTTCAATATATAAAACGCTATACTGACATTATAATTATAACATATAAGGGTATAAATGTTATTATTATAGTAATTTCAGTTCAGGATAGTAACTTAATTGATTGAGCTTTGCCTCTCATTTGGCGGGCATTTTGAGTGTCACCCTCACAGGTAAACCCCTTTTGCCTCACAGGTAAATCCCTTTTACCTCACAGGTAAATCCCTTTTACCTCACGGGTAAATCCCTTTTACCTCACAGGTAAATCCCCTTTACCAAAGACTAAAACAGCATTGAGGGCGACCATTTGTCGTTGGATGAACCTAGAAGTTTCCAGTTTGAGCCCAAACTCAAAATCCTTAATCCGTCAAACTCACCAAGATTTCACAAATTAATTCGCTAGGTATTTTGTATAGGTCTTCCTGCTTATGTATTGTTGGATTGTCTCCCCATTGTTCCTTGTTTCCACTTGGCAAACGTTGCGCAGTTTCAATATGTTTATTATTCCTGATGTTACCACAATCCTTTTTACATAATTCTCTAGGTTTCCAAGTTGTAATGTTATTCCAGAGCCTAGTGCGTTTTCTGTAAGGCATTCCATATTTACAGTAATCTACATCTTTAAAA